ACTGATTCCTTCAAAAAAAAATAACAGAGATACAAATAATAGCAAACAAGGAACAAAACATGGTCCAATTAGCCTGACATGGTACAGACATAATATTTGGTTGGATTAAACCAGTTTTGCGTGCGCACAAACTTACCCTTTTACATATTAAGAGCGCATGTCGTAAAATTAAAATGACAAAAAAACCTATACAGTGCAGCTACCAACAGCACGAACACTAAGTTGAACAAGGAAATAAATAAAAACTAAAATTTGGAAAGCAGGACACAAATGTGCTCGCTGCTACAGGAAAATTTAAAACATAAGGCTTAAATAAAACTTTCTCGTTGAAATTTAAGATTCAGTAAAGAGTGTCATTGAAAAGGGAATGCTTTCTACGGGAATCGACATTGAAGCTAATGGCTTTTATTGTGATTTTCTATTATTAATGGGGTTGCTGCAGCAGGATGATAGAAGAAAAGTATTTAACAGCGTTACATGTATAGTGCATCTGTTGTCAGTATAATGGGTCGTAGAATGTCAGAAGAAAATTAAGTGTTGTCTTTTTAGTGAAGAAGCCAACACACTTTACAAAACCAATTGTTCATTATAGAAGGCCGTACGGTGACCTGTTGTTGTTTACATCCACATCATTTAGACTCTGGTTGACAGTTGTCTCATTGGCAATCATACCAAATCTCTTAATGTTTATATTGATGACAAAAGCTCTAATAAAGAATCTGAGTATTGTTAGGCATATTATCGTTTAGGGGTTTTAAAAGGCTGCGGATGTACTAAGAAGTGTTAAGTTGAAATAAGTTGCTGCTGGCTATTCAGCTATTCTTTAATATATTTAGAATTACCTGATTGAAGCAACACCGTAAAACATGTTCAAACCTAAATACAATTCTTGAAAATCAATCTTGATAATATAATTACGATGTCGGTAAACTGCTTGAGACCAGATACGTCAAGGTAGAATACTAATACTAGCGTTACTCGTCAAATCGTATCCAGTGGTCATGTTGCAAACAGCTACATTCAAAACACTAGTAATTATATCAGATAAACGTTTTACTTGTCTCTAATTAAGTTAATATACTGACAACCTGAAACAGTTCATGGCTACGCCCGTAAAGCTAAATGAGATCAAAAGTTTGCTTCTATACAAAAAGAATAAGAAACAGACAGCTAAGAAAATGAAAACGTTCTGAGTTAAGAGAGCTCTTGGTATTCTTCGTCTAAAAGTGGGGTTTTTCGTATACAAGACTTATATTGCCTATGTGTCTTATAACAGATTTATATTGGTATTTGTTTTTAAATGTGTATTAAAATGAAAAAAAAGGATATGTCGGGTATAAATCAATGGGACATTTATCCAACAACACAAAAAAAAACAAAAGTCATTTAGCACATTTTTTGAATAAATGTACTTATTTGAAGTCTAAATGAAGCTATGAGTTGAAAATCTAGCCGTTTGATTTTAGACATTAAAATATGACTTTTTGATTAAACTATCTGACTGTAAAGCAAACCTAACTATTGGCATTATCATGCCGTCTTTCGTCTGTAGAAGCAATGGTTACACTTCAATAACTGTATTCTATTATAGACACTTCAATAAACATTGTTTTAATATTTTTACTGATGTTTTTGTATGCATGATGTTAATAACTTGCATTGTATGTGCCTCAGAAGAGATACATGTTTCATGTAGAAATATTTGTCATGTACTAACAGTGAACCAAGTTTTTCGTTTTTTCATATTATTTTAAGTATATAATATTGTGTGACTTTTCATTTCCTTTCATTTTTATAATTAAAAAATGATGTTTTACTATATAACTAGCAAAGCAGCATAACTTATAGTATTTTTTATTTGTAAGATGGAACGAAAAAAACTGAAACGGCAACCAAATCGATTGCTTAGTTATATCAACTATTTCACAAATGTCTGTATGTACAAAAGGCAATTAATTTTATGTTAAATGTATACCAACAGTATTTTGAGATGTGTAAGCATATTGAGGCGGGTTTGGGACACGAACATTTGAAATTAATGTTCAATTTTCCATTTTTCAGCAGTTACAGTTATTAAAAGTGATGCTTGTCGAACAAAGCGGCATAACTCAGACCTGTATGTGTATGTTGTGACTACTACTGTTCTTGTGATCTTTGTTGCTGGCAACCTATAGATAAATCGATGCTTCACTTGAAAATTTATTTAAAAAACATTGTGAAGAACATACGGTTTGAGTATAGTTATTACAATTAAGGTGTATTTAAATTGTATAGCTATTTACTTAGATATAAGAAGATGTGGTATGAGTGCCAATGAGACAACTCTCCATCCAAGTCAAAATTTATAAAAGTAAACCATTATAGGTCAAAGTACGGTCTTCAACACAGAGACTTGGCTCACACCGAACATCAAGCTAAAAAGGACCCCAAAAATAACTAGTGTAAAACCATTCAAACGGGAAAACCAACGGTCTAATCTATATAAAAAACGAGAAACGAGAAACACTTAAGAACCACATCAACAAACGACAAATACTGAACATCAGATTCCTGACTTAGGACAGGTGCAAACAATTGCAGCGGGTTTAAACGTTTTAATGGTACCAAACATTCACCCTTATCTGAAACAATAGTGTAACATCACAACATAGAAAGACACACTATAAAATATCAATTGAAATGGCTTAACTCAATCAAAAGACATGTTAATACCAGTGAACATACACTGAACAAATAAATTTGATCTATGATACAACGTAAATACAAAATAAATAAACTAAGGGAAGAATAATTAAAGTAACATGTTATACCGATGTGAAATGTTAAACAATATAAGAAAAACAATATGCTTGAACAAAAATATCAGCCATTTGTAATTACTTTAAACACAGGTAAATGAAAATAATTTTGTTGTTAGGTATACGTGTACAGTTCAAATGGAGAAAGGAAATATACTCCATTATTCTATTCCTCTCAGAACTCTTAAAAACTAAGTTGTACTGTTTAGATTATTATTTAAGTTTCTAGTATCAATCATGTTCATTATTCCAAATTACACAATTTGGAATAAGTGCTTATAAGATTTCTGTAAATGATTACAATATTGTCATTGAACTTATTGTAGAGTAAAAAAGGGAAGAAAATATCAAGGTGCAATTAAAATCTATAGGTCATTCCTTACAACATTCTCTTGTTGTATAGTTTAATCAAAGCAGGGTTAAAAATAATATCCCACCAACATATTTTCGTCCTGATATGCAAGGAATATTTGCCACTAGACCTTTCATCCAATCCATCAGTCATGTGTCGTGGTCTAGTAAATAGAGTTAGGCATCTTATCGCGCTTCTTTTGAAGTACATCTGATCCCTATTGTTTTGTCTAGCATATTTGTCGTACATCTATGAGAAGTGACTAGGTACACGTCTCCCCCTGGTAAACAAATAGAACCAATTGCCATTCACTTTATGGAAACAGAACTGTTAGCATGCTGTTTTATATTTTGTGCTATATTTTTTTCATACATAAAACCTTGTTATTTGTTAGATGGTAAGGCCACGCCAATTTATTTCCTTGTTCGACGGAACCGCCCGCACATATTTTTTCTCAACGGAAAAAAATTATCTTTAAATATTCCCGCTTCCCGCATTCGGAAAAGTAATCGTGTCTTTTTCCCGCGCCGGTTTTTTAATAAATATTTAAAAAATAAAAAGCGATCGCCAGAGCGTTTTAGTCAACGTCAAATCACGACCCTTTAAACTGCTTCGAGCATTAACACAGATTTCTTATCAAAGTCAAGGACGATTCTTCACAAAATTATGCCGATTTTCGTTTTTAGAATAAAGGACGCAGAAGGAGAAGTGTTGCCTTCAACTGCAATATTGTTTGCTCTTCCAATATTGCATAGACATTAAAAAGCTTAGCCTGTCAGCTAATAAGATATAGATAAGACCGTTGGTTTTCCTGTTTGAATTGTTTTACACTAGTCATTTTGGGGCCCTTTATAGCTTGCTGTTCGGTGTGAGCCAAGGCTCCATGTTGAAGGCCGTACTTTGACCTATAATTGTTAACTTTAAATACATTGTGACTTGGATGGAGAGTTGTCTTATTGGCACTCATACCACATATTATTTATATACAAAGTGCCAAAAAGACAAAGAACACAAATGGGAACACAAAAACGACGGAGACACAGACAATTAATTAATAACACAAAAAACTAAAAAGTACACACATCACCGAACAGCACGAACCCTTAAAAACTGGGGGTGAACTCGGGTCACGGTTCCGGACGGATGAACAGTTCTTGCTTCTTGCAAGACACCCGTCGTGTTGCTAGTTATAAATCATGTCCGGTGAAGGAGGAAAGATATCTTTGACATTTCAATAGAGATCATTTAAGGCAGTTGAAATAATTATTCAATTATTCAGTTCAAGATCTGATGTCCTCAGAAAGTAACAGTAATACAAAAATCATAAATATGCTGCAATTAAAAGTGGGCATTACATGTCTTGGTGTACAGGAAAAAAAAAACACTTCAGAAGTTGATAAATTAAAGAGATGTCAAAGTACAAGTGGTAAATCAAGTTTCATACCATCTTGATTTGATCAATATTGTCAGAACCTATGATTTTATGTTTACAAAAAAAAAATATAATCGCTCGCCTCTACTTTTCAAGCTTCGCCTCAAAAATTTGCAAATTAAATTTTTCAAATCTCTCGCTCGCCCCAATTTCTGAAGTGGAAAAATCCGTAGAACAAGAAATTAAATTGGTGTGGCCTAATAAGGACATAATATGTACATGTGTATATCCATAAGAAATTTTTATGAGTTGACTTTCGTAGGAGTTTTTGAATCTGGTGAGATTTTGTTTGCCCAGTGACAATGTAGGGCGTGGGATATGTGAGCGTGCTCACTAAGGTTCTTTAATTTTTTATGTTATTTGGCTGGCTATTGACTCAGATGGACGACTTCAAACTAGGATCTTTCATAATCTTTAACTTATGATTTCTCCTTTCCAACTGTAACCTTCCCATTTCTCAGCAGTAACATAAATTCTGGAAGATCGATTGGCATGTCTCAATCGATACGTTACGCACATAAAGAGGACTTCATCAACAGGGGTGTGCTCCCGACCCAAATACTGTTACTGTAGGGTTTTATGGACGAACTACTGAAAGTTTACGGTCACCATCACTAACTGGTTGACCGATAAGATTTGCCAGTGGGTAAACTCGCATAATATGTTTTTGTGGTCTTAAATTGTAAATTTACTAATTAGTTCCTATTTCATATTGTGACATTTTGTTTGTGAATTTGCATATCGGGAGATGCATATATATTATGATACACTTACTCGGTCTCGATCTGTTTGAACTGCATGCGATTCCCAAGGTTTTTTTACCTTGAAATATAAAAAACTGAACGTTAATTTAACTATTGATCTAATCGAATCCAAACGAAGAGGTATATTTGTTTAAGCAATCTTTTGCATCAATCCTCTACGTCTATAAGTTATCTTTTCTATACTTAATGTTGATGCTTTTCAAAAATAATTTATTACTTCAGATTGATTTCACTATTTGATTTCACTTTACGATTTGACTGCGACATCGACATGTAATGTATGGTCATCCCTGAAATTCTACCATTCGACAGTAAAAATTATCCCAAAGACGGGCGTTCATTTGGCTGAGGGGATGTATAATTACCCGGTAACATTGAATAGAAAGGGGACGTTAAGTCCAATTATTCGTGCACGGAGGGTGTTATGCTCTGTGGATGTTAAAGAATCTTTGCGATAATTATAAGGGTGATCTGTTGCACGACAAATTATTGAAAGGATCTGCAAAGTGGGTCGTTCGGATAAGGCCATGACTTGAAAAATAGTGTGTGTTGATTAAGGGCAAACATTTTGCATTGCAACAGGCACCATACTTACACCCTAAAGATTTGGTGAAAAATTCTTTAACGTACATATAGCGTGGTATTATCTATACACGAGGCGTTGCTTTTAACGTTTCCATTCTGGCTAGACGTTGCTGCGTATTTATACATCCTCCACAGCTTAACTGACTCCTCTTTCTCACATGGGTTTTACTGAATGACCTGTATTTGTATACAACTTTCAAAGATTATTTTTTTATTTTTTTTTTTTATTTTAGGCCAGTACATTATATTTGCAGTTGCTCTTATAACTATTTCGCAATCTTAAAATTGTGTTTCAGGATAGTGCATTCGTGACCGCAAATATAGATGTATCGAAAAGGTCATTATTCTTATCAATTTGAGAACTAAATGATAAGAAAATAAGATCTAGGTAGGAATATATTCGCCAAAACAACAATGTGGAAGGAATTTATTTTATTGTCAGTTATTGCTGTTACTTTGACTTCGTCATTAAAGGTAAATGAAAATAGGTATATCTTAATTTAAACCATCAGATGCAGGTTTCAGATCTGTGTAATATACATTGAAACAATATTTATATTTCCTATGAAATTTTACACAGCTATGTACTTCGAATTGAACTTCCCCTTTTATTGATATAAAAATAAGAAGATGTGATGATTCCCAATGAGACAACTATCCACCAAAGCTCTAATGAAGTGTCTGTGTAAGCTATTATAGGCAACCGTACAGCCTTCAACAATGAGAAAAACCCCTAACCGTATAGTCGGCTGTAAAAGGCCCCGACATGAAAAATATGAAACATTTCAATTGATGAAACTAACGGCCTAATTTATAAGAAAACAATTTGCGAAAAACAAATATGACAACCATGAACCAACCACAACGACTGATCTACATGCTCCTGACTTGGGACAGGCACATACAGAATGTGGCGGAGTTAAACTAGTTTGTTGGTGCTAATCCCTCCCCCTAACCTGGGACAGTGGTGTAATAGTACAACATAAGAACAAACTATACAAAATCAGTTGAAAAGTGCTTAACTCATCAGATAAATACAAAGCAGAAAGCATCTAACAAAAACACAGACCGGACTTGGCAGAGTATCTATACAACCCACAACAAAAAAGACACTAAGTAAAGATTTGACAGTACTCGCAGTTACTGATAGCTAGTTCAAAACCAATAACAACTGGTTTTAAATTCGGATGAGCAGAATTTCATATTTCATTTTTAATAGCTAAATTTCTATGCATAAAAAATTTTCAACTGGACATTAAGCAAACATCAATCAATCTCAAAACAACTAGTATTTGAGCGTGGAAGTTATCAATGCCAAAATAATTTAAATTACATTTAAATTATATATTTTTGTATCTGATCTTCAATTATAGAACAGCTAAGGATTATTGTGTCCTCGCGACAATAATTCAGGTTGGAGGAGCATTTTTACTTCACCCCTGTCAGTCCGCTAATATAATCGGGTATAAACAGTTGTGAGCTACCAAACTCCTTTAACAGTTTACAAGGTTGAAAACATCAGATTTTATATTGTAGATCAGTTGTATATAGATGCGTATGTAACCGCAAAGTTGGACTAGGATATAGAAATGTGGTTATTCCTTGGTCTTTTTCAGTCCGGTAGTAAAACCCTTACCAAAGTGAGACGTCCATGTGGCCGTGCGGGATGTATTCGATGTTGTCAAGTCTGGTCAGAAAAGGGACGTTAAATTTGATACCTCGTTCAGAGAGAGCGCCATGCTCTCCGCACGTTAAAAAATCTTGCAACAAATCTTTGAGAGGTCTGTATGTGGCCTGTTAAATATCTGTCCCTATCTAATATACCCAAAATTTTCACTTGCATTCCAATTTTTCCGCCCACCTTCTGGGACGACCTCCTACTGCAGGATCTACCTATTGTATTCATTGTTAATTTGTTCTCGTCCTGAACATGCATGAAATATTTGCAAACGACAATCAATCAGTAATTGATGCAGGTACTATGTCCATGGTTTGTTAAACCCTTCTTACTGTTTATAAGGTAGAAACTCTTCATTTCGTACAACAGATGTACACACACCTTGAAGATAAGCATGAGAACAGGGTTGTTTTTTTAAGAATAATTAGAACAGATGTTGAATAATTTTTGGGAAATTTTCCCATATAGGAAGGATACATGTTTGTCTGTCAAACTCACCTTAAAGTTCAGTTGCATGTACCAGTGTAATTTGTGTGACAATTGCACAAATATGAATTTTTTTATATTCCTGATATTTATTTCCGAATTTCTATAGGCTTGTCAATCTTACTTCAGGTACAATTATGTTCAACCATCAATATACACTGAATATCTGTAGCTTGGTACATTTTTTTAATTTTCCACAAAATTGCCACTAAGTGCTACCATCGAATGCTCGTAACTAAATTAAAAAAAATAAATAAAAAAAACACGAGAAGAATGAGCCTCGTTTTATTTTACTATGATATTGATGAGGTAGTTTAACCGATATCGTCTCTCTGTTTTGTGTGAAAAGTATAGATCGTTTATTTCTATATTTAGGTTCAATGTAAACATGACTCGGAATGTGGAACGGATGAATGCTGTTTCTATCACGAAGGGCCGATGATAATGAGTAAAAGGCAGGATTTGGTCTCTTTTGCTGGAATGGTTCAAGGTAACATAATTTTAAACGGAGCCCGACATTTTTTTTTTTTTTCGAACGGGACTGCTGTAACACATTCAATGGTAACACAAAAGTCGTCATCCCGATTTGGCATTCGTGTTGTCTTTTTGTTGGCTTTAGTATACATGTGATAATAAACTCATCATAGATATTACGATTAAAATTGTGTACGGCAGACGCGCGTTTCGTCTACAAAAGACTCTATCCCTGGGGTAGAAAATCCTTAGTTTTTCTAAACAGTTTATAGTAACGACCATATCAAAAGATCTCGGGTATGAAGAGGGAGAAAAAACATAGCATAAAAAGGAATAATGAGGTTTAAATTCCTAAATTTTCATCATATCTAACTTTAATTTGGTGTTAGCGATTATGTCATTAATTTCCTTTTAATTGAAGAATAAATCAAATATTAACTTTAAGGTTATGTTTTCAGATATTACAAGTAGCTTATGGGGAGAAAGGCGATTGTTTGCTGTTGTGTTTTATAGCATTCCTAATTCTCCATAGACATCATATAGAATGTGTAATAATTGTGCAGACAAAATTGTATTTGAAAATTCCTAACAGTATTCTATTTCAACAACCGGATTATTCACACCTATATTTGATTGGATTAATATTTCTTGGAGTTTGTTCCAAATTAACTGTGATGTACTACAGCCAAACACTTGTTGAGTTATTTGTGTTGTTTTTTGACAAATATGACACTTTCCAATTGATATTTTAATTTTTTGAAGTTGTAATCTACCTTTATTATGAAGATATTGTGCATGGACCTCTATTGCGAAGACAAAGTTGACTTTGGACGGGTTTTTTTTTGGATGGTCTGTTTCTGCCCTTTTGAAGTTTATGGTCAGTGTTTCGACTTCTAAAAAATAATGAAGAGTGATTCTAGAATCCATGGTCTATTTAATGTGGTTATTAAGCATAAATATCTTAAATGCTAAAAGGAGTTTAAAATGTAGTTTGATCCGATAAATAATTTTATGTTGTAGTATGTTGTATGATTGCTAATTATGCATCTTTCAACCGGAGTCCAAATGAAGTGAATCTTAGCATCTATAGGTTAGTATACGTTCTTCAGCATTGAGCAAAACCCATACGTATAGATTAGTCAGCTATGCTATATAGGCCCCGAAATGACAAAATGTGGAGAAAGCCAACTAATTAATGAAAAAAACAATAAACGAAAACTTTGGTTTTAGGTGGATGGTGTGAAAAGTATCAACCTCAAGGTGAATACTGTAGCAGCATTGGTAAAATGAATGGACATTGTGGATGTGCTCCTGGACTAAAGTGCAAATGGATTCCAGATCCAACATTATCTATCTTACTGCAACCTGTAATCCATGCAAGAAGTATGCAAATTGGTGGACATTCAGAGTGTCAACCCTAAAATGTTTAAACAAAATAGTATGCAATAAAAATTTCGTTTTGTTGTGTTTTATACATCTCCAAGTTTTAATTTAAAAAATGATATTGTCAAATGTCTGATATATACTGCATATACAGCATGTATTATATATGACATCATGTGTTGGTTGAATCAAACAAATTGTTTATGGTTGCATATATTATATTTGTCGTCCATAAGTCGAGCGTGACATCGGAAAATATAGAAATAAAAACTAATACTGAATTTTGAAAGTATCTGCAATTTAGAAATACTTGATTTTCACTAATTTATCAATTTCGACCATCGACTTTAAAGAAAAGATTGATTAAAATGAAATACGTATAAAAATGACGAATTTAGAAATGTAGAAAATTTGAATTTTGAATAATATTAACGGTACCAATTTTACTGCACCAGATGTGCATTTTGGCAATAAATGTCTTTTCAGTGATGCATCAGGCCAGAATATTTAAAACTCCGACAAAACCTAATGCAAACGTTTAAGAGTTGAACAGTTACATTGTGCGCTGTACAGAAACTTGTTAACTTGATGAGACAAATGTTACGAATAAATTAAACAATAACAGATAGAGTGTACAAAAAAAACCAATTGAATAACGATTATTTAAATCACAAGACACAAATAAAATTTAGACTGATCCATTTCGCAAAATATATATTATGTAAAGTTATGTGTGTGTTTCTGTCAATAGTCGGCATTCTTATTAGAACCTCTGCTCGCGTAATAGGCAGACAACACAGGAGCTTCTACATAAAAAGAAAGAAAAAGCTAGCTTCATCGTGTTACTTCACATTTCGTTATGTGTTATTCAACATTTCAAAGCTGACCTCATCTATTATTGATATAAAGGATACCTTAGATGCAGTAAGGTCTGTTTTATATTTTGACTAGCACTTAACAATTGACAGTGATAGCGGGTAAAGAACTAAATTTTACAACAAACACAAGGATTGACTTAAGTACATAATTATTGACACCTGATTTTTCCTTCGTTCTTTAGATATGTGAAATGTTTACAACTGAACGTTAAGAAAACAAGAATGCACGCGTTTTCGTACCACGGACACCTCTACTCGTAATTCAAAGTATCGGGAAACAGGAATTAGGTTTCTGACCGATCAGAAAAGCAATCACGCGTTACAACTCATCACTGTAAAGCTTCTGACCAATAATTGTGTTACTGGTACCTAAGAAAAGTGTGACGCAATTATTTGTTAGACGGACGGACGGACGGACGGACAGACGGAAGGAAGGACAAAGTGAATACAGTATAGCTCCCACTCTGAGAGTGGCGATATATAAACAGCATTAAAAACGAAAGAGCAGAATACATTTCACCATGATGTTCATATGTAATGATGTTTATACCGTATATCCTAGTTATGTCAGGGCTTCGTTTCAAATCATGTTTTTACTTCTTAGAGGCTTGCTGCTTAAAAGGCAACTGTTTTTTGCAACTGCTCTTGATATAACGTTTTTTTAAGTTTGCCAAAAAAATTCATTGTAGTAAAGCCGAGGTATACGATAGAGTTCACAATTTCTAATTTACAAGCATTGAGTTGAAGATGGTTTACTGCATTCTGAAAACAGAAACTTTTGTCTTCGCCATGTTTACTTCTATTTTCTGCTTTGTACAAACACTAGTCATAACTTTTCAAATATATCAGGCTTATGGTTTGGTAATGAAATATTGTAAAGTGTTCGGTGATGTTCCAAAGAGGACAGTATCATCAGCGAATAAGATAAAAAATACTAAATTCAAAAAAAGAAACACTACCATTATCCGATTTAAAATAGATATCTTAATAATGTCGTTAATTATTGTATTAAAAAAGAGAGCAAAGGAGACAAAGATTCCCCTTGTTTAACACCAAGAATATTATCAAACGCATCAGACAGCATTCCTCCGGATCGGACTCACTGATGAATGAAAGGTTTTAACGATAGACACAAATTATATCACTTACGTTATTATTCAACAGTTTGTAATTATATCAAATTCTTCTGTTTAGCTTATAAAGAGCCTTACGAAAGTCCACAAAGGCACAGAATAGTTTAAGTTTGCGTTCTTATACACGAGTTATAATTCCATGCAAGTTAAAAATGTCTTCTATAATCGTTGAACTTCCAGGGCGACATTCACATTGATTATTACGTCTTCTTAATTATCATATGTTAAGTTTTTTGTATTTTTAAGTATTGGTTTTTTTTCAACATCACTTTGGATTTTTTATCTTGAACAGTCAACAACCATCAAATTAATTCAAGCTAGCATTTCCTAGACAAATATAATGAATATGGTTTACTACATCTCTAAAAGGGATGATATAAAAGTATGTTAAAATTAACAAAAGAAATTTCTAATATAATTATCTGAGTTAGATTTTTAAAAAATCTTGGAGATTTTAAAAGAATCTTTGATCAGACAGAAAATAATTTCAGGATAATTGTGTATAAAGCATGTTTTTATATGGAATAGCTTAATCTTCGAGTGGGGAACTCTTTTAGCTAAAAAGCATAATCTTGTTTCACTCTACATGCATTACTAGCATGTATCAAATAAAAACTCCGAAAAAAAATATTCAGTAGTCTATATCACAGGACACGTTCAATATAAAATCCCATTATTTTACTGAATAAGTGACAAATTTAGATTATCACCTTATAACTGGTATGCTCATCTTAAGTAGTTTTATATCTTTTATTGATCAGCTGAAATATTGATCCTACATGAATTTAAGAGGAAGGAAATACAGTTTTAAATTGATAAAAGGAATACAGAGAATTGAGATTCACTAAGGATTACAAAACTGGAGTATTCCTTCATCATGTCTAGGATTAGCTCGTTTTTACTGGTCATTAGTTAAGATGTGGGTCTCATGTCAGTTGCTTTGGTGTTCTCTATGTTGTCTGCATACTGCCTTTGGTTTGGTGTTTTTCAATTGTTTTCATTTCTTTTTCAGTACGAAAGCGCAATATCAAAGTTTTGATCCTCTTTCTAGATAAATATTTAAGCAGATGCCCAAATTAAAAACTTTCACGTGAATCCTGAAAAAAATGCAAAAATGCACGTGCACGAGGTAATTTTTAAGATGTTAAATAACAATTATTTAAAAGCGGGTTTTATTATGGTTTGAGCATAAATTTAAAACCGGTCTTTCAAAATTCTAGATTTAAGAAATTAAGTGTCGTTTAAATTTTATTTAACGTTTAACTCAAATGACGTTTGTCCAACCCAGTCTAGCCTTTTCTGATACGTTGTCCTTTATCATACAGACTGTTAAAATATTATTTAAATGTGATCAATTACATTGTTTGCAGGCAATACACATCGAACTCTTCATTTCTCTACATGTCACATCAGCGATGAACAATCGTTCTCCTTGTTTGCTTATACGTTCTCGATAGTTTGTGTACGGCATGATTGATAATTATAGCGTTATCTCATTTTGTCTTATAATGTTCTTATCTGAAAGAGTGTGACAAGTTACAAATTTAGGACATAAACAATTATTTTACACTAAAAAGTGTCATGTTGAAAGAATTTCTTTTGATAGTGACAACATTGTTGGTCACATCGGTTAAAGTAGTATACTCAGCAGCTACTAACCACACATACGAATAATTGTTGTATATGTTCTAAAACAGGGATTCTAATATGACGGCCTTATTACGCTTTGTAAACAAAGCCGTGTTCTAATTAGCACAAAATATGTTTGACACATGCGCACAAACTGACTGTTGATATTCTCGTTATTTTTATTGTTATCCTAATAAAGTATATACATTTTAGCAGCTTACATAAACATTTATTATATATTGTTCATCAAACAACATATATATATACCCTGCTATTAGTTTTTAAACTTATCAAATATGAAAATGTAATGTACATACTCCTTGGGGAGGAAACGGGAACAACCAAACATTTTTAAGGTATTTTCGTACGCTTCGACCTATAGAAATACTGTATTTGTCCTATTAGAATCGAAATAATTCCTTCATGTCATGCTCTATGCTCATTTTAACATGAGTAGGCATTATATTTGACCATATTTTACACCTCGCTAACGCTCAGTGTAAAATATCGACAAATATAATGCCTACTCATGTTACAATGAGCATAGAGCATGACGTGAAGGAAATATTTCTTAATTGAGACACTCTCAGATCACGGGACATCGGATTATTACATTCTCATCATGCGTTTTATACATCCCTAATGTATCATGTGTATTAAAGTAATGAATACACAATGTGTTAATAAAAGGAAAAAAAAAACATGTCTTCAAGTATAATATGTATTATTGTTTCAGGTCCAGTGTAAACAGGATTCACAATGCGGTTCAGATGAATATTGTTATTATCACGAAGGGCCAATGGTTGCCAGCAAAAGGCGACGGGCTGTTTTACCTTTCAATGTTATGGTTCAAGGTAAATAGATTGTTATCTTGAGATATCGACAGTATTGTAAGCTACTGGAAGTTTTGCCGAATTTGCAAGAAATATTGCACTGTCTGATTTGCCAGGTATATTTACCTGTAAGATCGTTATGGGTGCTCGAAGGAAAGGATTCGAACCTTTACAGCCCACCATATTGTAGTAATATTTTAAAACTATAAACACACATCAATCTTGCATGGTTTGCTGCCAAATTTCGCAACAATCAAAATTTATGATGAACTATTTGTGTCCATATCAGTCACTGAATTGGTACCTCAATGTCTCCCTTTGACGGTCTATATTTATTTTTGAATGATTCAATAGTTTTAGAAGCAATTGCATCAACTGGTAGATTGTTCCAATCGTTTATTATGCGTTGTGAAAATTGTTTCAAATTTGCAATTATGCACACGGGTATTTGTCCTAATAACAGTAAAACAATCTTTTATATGGTATATCTTCAAATTCTTTTGAAATTTTAAAAGTTTGGATCATATCACCACGACGTCTTCTTTGAGTAAGAGAAGGAAATACTTGTAATCTCT